CCTCTGGATTGCACGAGCTCCAAGGATGACAGTCAGAGGTTTGTGTCTGGTAAAATCAAGCACAGTGTCTGTCGTGAGCTTTCCCCGGTCTTCCCTAGGAACTCCAAGGCACATCTCCCAGGGGCATGGCCAGGAGAGACTGGCTGGGCTTTAAAGGGCGGTGGGAGCAAGGAGCTCTGCCAGTGAATCTACCCAGCCAAGAGGCAGAGCGAGTTCCAGCCTGACAGACCAGAGCTCTGCAGGGGTCTCAAGCTGAGCGGGTTTGGTCCAATGCTGCTGCTGTATGCTAAGATATGTGGACTGTCAGTCCAGGCTTCATAGGCCCATGGAAGTCCACGGCACCAGGGAGGGATTTCTAAATCAGGACCCTGCTCTGGGCCAATGTACCTTTACTGGCCTCTACATCACCTGCAGAGGGGGCTGCCTTAGGAAAATTGGGAGGGACCCTGGGTACAGGTGGGAGTCCCTCTCAATCTAGCAGGTGAGACTTGGGTATCTGGGCTCCTGGCTTCTGCTGACCCTTCTTTCTGCTGCTCAGATGTGGGGACTGGCTCCGAGTCTGGGTTACCAACACCAGGGCAGAGCTGTCAGCCCTGAGGAGCGTAGTAGCTACACCCAGAGTCATGGGCATCTAGAAGAGCCATCTTCCCTCTCCGTGCCCCAGTTTCTCCAGCTGGAGGGATGGAAGAGAGCTGGGCAAGCACCTTGCTCATAAGAGATTGTTTCTGATAACAGTCTTGGAGTTCTTTGGTGGCAGAAAGGGCAAAGCCCGACACCAGCCATCTCTGCTATGCCAGCAGGTCAGTGACAGCAAGGGAAGAAGCTGGTCTGACTTCCCATTGTTGACATCTGGGAAAAATAAAATGAGTCATGGAGGGGGAATGAAAAAATAAAGGGTATCTGAACATGGGTGGGGAGGGACATGGGGAAGGACGGCTCAAGGGAGAGCTGCAGGCAGACCCCTGCTGTTTTGGTGCTAGCCCCACAGCTTGCCCTGCCCCAGCAGTGCAGCC